AATGGTCCATAAAATCCCAGTGAATATCAATCTATCACAATTTACTTAATCTCCTTCTAACGTTCATTCAGGTTGTATCCAATTTTTCATTATGATAAACAAAAGTATGATAGGCATCTATGCATCAGACCTTTTCCCACTTATCTCCTTTGGGCAAATTTTTGGAAATGTGGTAGCTAGATCAAAGAGCATGCTGCCTTTCACATTTTGATCCAGACAATCTCCCCAAAAGGCTGAACTAACATGTTCATTTTCCCATGCTTTCCCTATGGTTGGAATTTTCCATTTTGATAATCTGTATCAGTGTAAGAGATGGAGATGTAATATCTCATTGCCGTTTTGACTTGAATTTCTTTGGCCAATAGTAAAGGTAAGTATCTTTTTATTTGTTTATCATTTGCTTATATTTCTTTCTTTCTTTCTTTTTTTTTCCCCGAGACGGAGTCTTGCTCTGTTACCCAGGCTGGAGTGCAGTGGCACAATCTCAGCTCACTGCTACCTCAGCCTCCCACATTCAAGCAGTTCTCCTGCCTCGGCCTCCCAAGTATCTGGGATTACAGGCACACTCCACGAAGCCCAGCCAATTTTTTATATTTTTAGTAAAGACAGGGTTTCACCATATTGGTCAGGTTGGTCTTGAACTCCTGACCTTTTGATCCGCCTACCTTGGCCTCTCAAAGTGCTGGGATTTGAGCCACCACACCCAGCCTGCTTACATTTCCTTTTATGAATTGGCTGTTTCCAGTTTTAGCTATTTTTCTACTGAAAAATATATTGTGTTGCAAATACATTCTCTCCATTTGTCACTGGTGTTTCAACCTTATTTTTATTGAAAGGATACAAAATAAGTCAGTAACAAAAAAATTATCAGGTGGGAACAAATGTTATGAAGAAAATAAATTGGGTTGTGTGATGACCTTTTTTTTTTTTTTTTTTTTTTTTTTGAGACGGAGTCTTGCTCTGTTGCCCAGGCTGGAGAGCAGTGGCCGGATCTCGGCTCACTGCAAGCTCCGCCTCCCGGGTTCACACCATTCTCCTGCCTCAGCCTCCTAAGTAGCTGGGACTACAGATGCCCGCCACCTCGCCCGGCTAGTTTTTTGTATTTTTTAGTAGAGACGGGGTTTCACCGTGTTAGCCAGGATGGTCTCAATCTCCTGACCTCGTGATCCGCCTGTCTCGGCCTCCCAAAGTGCTGGGATTACAGGCTTGAGCCACCGCACCCGGCTGTGATGAACTTTTTTCTTTTTTCTTCTCTATGTCTCTGACATTCAAAAGCTAAATGGAGTCTCAGATGAATCAATCTGTTCCTTTAAGGTCTTTTTACTGCTAAAAAGACATTCTCCACCCACCCCAAGATGCAATATAATAATAATAACAATAAATAATCCATATTTCTCCAGGTGTTTTGTTTCCTTTTTTGGAGTTAGGGTCTCACTCAGTCACCAAGCTTGGAGTGCAGTTGTGTGATCATAGCTAACTACAGCCTCAAATTCCTGGGCTCAAGTGATCCTCCCACCTCAGCCTCCCAAGTAGTTAGGACTACAGTTGTGTGCCACCATGCTTAGCTAATTATTATTTTTTTTGCATGTATTTATTTATTGTTTTGAGATTGAGTCTTGCTCTGTTGCCCTCTGGAGTGCAGTGGCGTGATCTCGGCTCACTGTGACCTCCGCCTCCCAGGTTCAAGTGATTCTCCTGCCTCAGCCTCCCAAGTAGCTGGGATTACAGGCATGCGCCACCACACCTGGCTAATTTTCATATTTTTAGTAGTGATAGGGTTTTACCATGTTGGCCAAGCTGGTCTCAAACTCCTGACTTCAAGTGATCTGCCCACCTTGGCATACCAAAATGCTGGGATTACAGGGGTGAGCCACCACGCCCAGCCAACTAAGCAACTTTTCTACCCCTCATCTACACTCCTATCCTGAGTGTGTAGATATGACCTTCTTTGTAGGGTTTGTGGCAAGATGCTGAGAGGGAAGGTCATACTTTTTTTTTTGTTTTGTTTTTTGACAGGGTCTCACTCTGTTTCTCAGGCTGGAGTGCAGTGGCATGATCCCAGCTCACCACAACCTCCACCTCTCAGGTTTAAGAGACTCCCCTGCCTCAACCTCCCAAGTCCCGAGTAGCTGGTAGTACAGGCACACAACACCACAGCCGGCTGATTTTTGTATTTTTAGTAGAGACAGGGTTTCACCATGTTGGCCAGTCTAGTTCCAAACTCCTGGCTTCAAGTGATTCACCCGCCTTGGCCTCCCAAAATGCTGGGATTACAGGTGTGAACCACCACTCCCAGCCAGGTCATGCTCTTAAATAAAGGTCTTCGAAGTGTTAACCCTGCTGTCTTGAAGCCCCTCACAGCAAATGCCTATATTTAAAGAGGCCAGAAGTGCTACTTAAAGTGGGGTACCTAAAGAAGATCAGGCCCATACACCTGGCTTCCAGCTGTCCCTGATCATGATGATGTGACTGGAGGGGCTTCTTCAGCAGCCTCTGTTGCAGACATCTTCCAAAGGTGCCCATCTGGTTGCCTGGGGTGGATCCCAGTAAGTGGAGACCATAGAATGTCCTTTTGAATACTGTTAGATGCTCTGGTTGCTGGGCACCCCTCCTGGCAAGCAAAGCAGTTACCATGACAACTCCCCCTACATGTCTGTGATTTTTTGCATTTCTGCTTTTCTAATAAGTAGCAAGGTATTCCAGGGACAGGGGAGCATGGCTCCAAAACAGAAAGTCCTCTGTTCCAGGAAGGCGGACAGGGAGGAAAGGAGTGGAGGTGTGTATATGTTATGATTCACCAGTATAAATGCATTTGTCTCCACTTCTGGGTTAAAATGTGTGCCTTTGGTTATGCGTCAATGTATGTATCAACATGTGTCGGGTGAAGGGGTGAATTATCCCTTCTGTCTGTTCATTTGCTTTCCTGCCCTCACAGCAGCCCCTGAGCTGGGAGAGTCACTCCAGCCCTTTGCCTAGGGGAAGTGCTGAGTCATTGCTCCAGCTGGGTTTCTGTCTCCTTTCCTCCACCTCCATCTTTCCTTAGTCCACCCCTCTTTGCTTCTGGTTTCTAAAACTCTGGTCCCCCTTCACCACCTTATCAGCAGCTTGGACTTGCTTTCCCCAGGTTAACTCCAGTTCGGGAAAGAAGGTACCTTATTCTGTTTCTGCACTTACTCCCTCCACCCCTTGCCTTCTCAGAAGAAGGGGTCTTTCTCCTTATGACTTCTCCCACTTAATCCCTGAGAAAACAGGACTCTGACAAGTCTGACCCAGGAGGCTAATTCTTCCATGTATTCGCGTTGATCCTTCTCCAGTCCCTCCCCTCCTAATCGGATTATGGCAGTGTCTCATGCCTTGGGGCATGTCAAAAGTGAGATTTAACTGCATGTTACTTACTGTGGCTTTTTTCTCATTCTACGTCTCCAAGTGCCAGATCACAAGTTCCTGGAGGGGTGTGTGTGTGCAGCAAAGGGTGGGTGCTGTGGCTAAGCGTTCAGGGGCAGTATCCAAACGCAGGATGTTTGTTGGAGGTTGAGGGAGGCGTCTGTGTAGGGTCTCTGCCCTCTTTCCCATCCCCTTTAGGCTCCTCTAATTCAGAAATTCTAATCAAACAGCCAGTCTCACTAGCTAGTTCCAAGTAAGGTGGACCAGGATTGTTTCCCCAGCCAGAGGTGGGAGAGTAGAGCGGCTGCCCCGCCCGCTTAGTCTGGTTACTATGGCGACAGCCGCGGGGTGACCCAAGTGATCCTCCCTCCCTCCTCCCAAACCAAGAGAGATGACGGCACCGCGCTGACTGCGCCAAATTCCAGCCAATGGGCGGCTGCTCCCGCCTTCCCTTCCGCCAGCTCTCCCCCTCCCTCCGGGAACTCGATTCACAAATCTGGACTGGGGATTTCCGGCTCCAGGCAGGTTACAAGGGCCCTGGGCTGAGGCCAGGGGAGTCGAGTCCTGTAGTCCTGGGAGGGCAAGTGGGAACCGACATTCTTGGGTTCTGGAGCCAGACTTCTATAACTCGCCGCCAGAATAGATGACACCCTATTCCCAAATTATCCGGAAGATCTAGTTGAGGCCGAGTCTGCAACTCTTCCTGCCCCTACAAGCCCCGACCCCACCCGAGCGCGCCCTTCAGCACCACGGACAGCGATCCCGGGCCTCGTCTTGGCCGGTCCCGCCGGGTTCTTTGCGAATCTTCTCCGCCATGGCCGGACTAGGGTCGGAGCTGCCGGCACTCTGTTGAAGCCAGGCCTCTTTGGGCCAGTGAAACAGTGAACAGGGCGCTTAGCCACGTAGCTAAGAAGGCAATGGGGACAGAGCAGGGATCTCAGGCTAAATAGCGCATTTTCCCTCTTGTTTCAATACCGGAGAATGCCTTCCTTCTCCCCAGCTGCCCGTGTTTGCCCCTTCTTGGGGATAAAGGGCAAAGGTCTGAATCTCAAGCAGGGATGGGCCTCCCAAGACTCCTGAGTGGGCGTGCGACCGGGGCAGCGTCGAAGCAGCCCCGTGGTGGTTGGGGGATAAGGAGAGAAGTGTGGCAGATAGGCCCCACTTGGGAGTGGTGAATACAGACTTAGGCCCGACTGTACTCTTGACCAATATATGGTGGGGAGAGATGGGGAGGAAGGGGAAAATAGCAATAAGGACTAGCTAGTTCTGCCTCAATGGGTCACATCACAGAAAGGGCACAATTCCCGCTGTCCCCGTCATTCGGTCTCTAAGTGGCCCAGGCACTAATGAGGAGCTAGGTCAGACAAGATGGAGGCGGAAGTGGGGGGATGGATTCAGCTTTATCACCAGGCCTCACCCTTAGCTACCTCACTTTACTCTTTACCCTCTGTAAAATGGAAGCCGATGGCGGGGGTGGGGATGGGGAAGAGGAGAAGTTCTCAGGGACTTGATCTTCCCTACTAGAGCCCCATCTCTTGCCTTCCTGCCCTGGCCGTGACAGTTCCACTACCACTCCCACTCCCTCCCTCCCGGGGCCCAAAGAAAGACCGGCGCAAAACCATCTGCAGGCGCTTCCAGCGCTTTATAGTTCTTTCCGGGACAGACGGACAGACAGACAGTGCGGCCCGCTCTGTCGGCCCGCATCATTGGCACCTTGGACGCGGCCCCAGGCCCAACCCAGTCCCTGGTACTCTACCGGGAGGATTCCTGTCCCGCCTCTGCTCAGCACCTCGGACAGTTCCCAGCCCAGCCTCCCCCCTCCCCCCTCCCTCCGCAAACAACCAAATAAATTAAAAGGGGCAGTGGGGAGGGAAAACAAAAAAGCTAAGGATAAGGAAGCGGGATGTTCCTTCCCCAAGGTAAGAAGTTTTCTTCTCCTCCCACCTGTCCACTGAGGCGCCGCGGCCGGGGTGGTCTCCCAGGTTGATTTTGCCTCCAAACCTCAGCCTTCTGAAAGAAGCGGTCAGCCCCTTCCTCCACCCCCCCAGCTCCCAGCATGCAACACGTTGGAAAAGGTGGGGAGAGGCAGTGGGGGTGGGGCGAGGGGCCATCCTGGTCCTGTCTGGGTGCCTGGGGCTGCAGTTTCTCCTGGCACCTCAGTCAATCCAAATTAAAAACTAATATTCCCTTTGATCTGGGGAGGGGGGTGTGGGAACTCAGTTAGGAATAAAAAATGCAAGCTGACACAAGTGGAGGAAGAAGGCAGACAGGAGGGAAGATGGTGACACATGACAGGAGCAACAAGAAGAGATGGGGACACAGGTGCAGGAGGAGAAACGGGGGGGCCATGGGGTACAGTCAAGCAAGGGGTAAGATGGAGATGCGGACACACACGCCCAAGGAACAGAAAATGGAAAGGCAGTGAGAGGGAGGAAGAAAGAGAGGAACAGGAGAGAGAGAGAGGGAGAGAGAGAGAGGAATGCAGACAGGAGGAAAAATGAAGACACAAAAAGGAGGCAAGGAAATGGACAAAACCAAGGGGGAATGGACTGAAGGGAAGGGGAAGACCCGGGCAGAAATGAAGAAATGGGGGCGCAGACAGACGGGAAGAGTGAGGTTGGAGTGCCCTTCCCGCGCTCATCTTCCGTCCCCACTTCACGCCCAGCAAATCCAAACACCGCGGCCTCTGGTGTCCCGGCCTCCACTTTCCCCTGAGGGGCATGGGCGGCTCCTCCTCCGCCCAGCCGGGGCGCTGAGCGGCAGTAACAGCGGCGGTGGCTTGGTGGTCCCGGGGGGTCCGAGTGTGTGTCGGGGGCTGGGACGGGGGATGGGCGCGGCCCCTGGGTATCCCTAGCGGTCCAGGTTCATAGTCCAGTGCTTGGCTCCGGCCGCGCAGCTGTCCCTGGCGGCCGAGGAGGCGGCGGACGCGCCCCCGTTCGGTGGGCCCCCGCCGCTGGCGGCGGCCTCGCCCTCGTTCTTGAGGTCTTGAAAGACCTGCGTGAAGAAGTGGGGGTCGGCGTTGAGCCGCAGCATCTGCGGGCTGAGCCGCTGGATGAGGCGCAGGCAGCGCTGCCAGAAGCGCTCCTTGTCGGGCTCCACGAGGAAGGGCTTGAGTGGGTAGGAGATCTCGTTGCCCATGTAGGAGTAGGCGAGGTAGAGGCAGGTGAGGAAGGCGGCCTGCAGCTCGGCGGCCGACGCCAGCTCGTCCCCACGCAGCGACTCGCGGCACAGCAGGTACACGAACACCAGGTTGGCGGGCGTAATGAAGGCCTGGTCTTGCCAGCCCTGCAGCAGCAGCGAGCGGTCCACACCGCGGAACCAGCCTACCAGCTCGCCAGGGCTCAGCTCCTTGAGGCGGTAGCAGCGTCGGCACACGAAGTCGCCCAGACAGCGCAGCAGCTCGCCGGTGGACGCCTGCACGATGACCCGCCGCGGCGAGCCGCCAGGCACCGGCGGCGCCGCCTGCGGGGCTGGGGGAGGCGGCGGCGGAGGCTTTCCCCCTCCCGAGCCCGGCGGCTGAGCGGCCGCGCTGCCCCCCGACGGTGGCTCGCAGGTGGCGGCAGCCGCGGGCACGGTGGGCACTGGCACCGCCAGGGGCTTGGCGGTGCCACCGCCGTCGGGGGGATCCCGGCCCTTGCGGAGAAGGTTCTCGCGGTTGCGTTGCTGGACCAGGGGGTCGGGGCCCGTGGATGCCGGCTTGGGTGTCACCTTCTTGCTGCCTTTCTTCTTCTTGGCGGACGCGGCCACCAGGCGCTTCCAGGTGAGCGCCGAGATGAGCACGGACGGCCGCTTGAGTCGGCTCTCGCCTTTGCCGCCCTTGCCCACTGGCGGCGCCCCGTAGCCCCCCAGCGCCTCGTCCCCCGCGGGCGGCGCCTTCTTCTTCTCTTCGGGCAGCCCGCCGGGCCTCCGGCCCTTGGCCGAGGAGGCAGGGGAAAGAGACAGCACCGTGCCCATCCTGCAGAGCGGGGCCGGCGCCCGGGCCCCAGCGGGAGCCGCGGGCGGCGCCGCTGCTACTGCAGCCCCGGGGGACCCGGCGGTGGGGGGCCTAGCCCCGGCCCGGGCGCGCGGACTGGCGGGGGAAGGTGGCTGCTAGGCGGCTCCGCTGCTCTGAGCCTGAGCTGCGCCAGCTGCAGCGTCAGCCCCACCCCTTGGGCCCCTTTTTTCGCCGCGCTGTGCCCCGCCTCACGCGGCCAATCCGCTCCCGAGTTGCACTCCTGATGGGCAGCTCCCGTGACCAATAGACTCTCAGATGTCAATTTCAAGTCCCGCCCCAATCCCCACCCTCTGCCCTGAGTCTTTTCCCTTCCCCCGTTCCGGGAAAGGGGAAGGCGGTGGTCGCAGTTCGAGTGGCCTCCTCAGGGTCAGAGTTGAGGAGGGGTGGTGGCTGCTCCTACCTCCTCCTCCGGATCCTAGAGCATGGGTCAGCTTGTTCTGATGCACTGGGTCGCGGTAGCAGATAAACCATGGGAACAGCCCTCCTTCCCTCTGCCTTTGAATTTGTGTGAGGGGCCAGTGTGAGTAGTGAGTGCCCTCACCGGATGCCCAGGTCCCAGCTGGGTCGCGTTGCAGTGGCTCCTCCAATGTGACTATCAGGTCTGTTTCCTCTTCGCCACCCCACCTCGCCCACTACCCCCCAGGTCGCTAGAGGGGCTGCAGCAGGCACATTTCTGCCCTGCCTGTTTGGGAGTCCTGGCAGAGCCTTCTTGCAAGTCACAACCCGCCTCCTTGGGGGTTCCAGCTTGAGGGGGAGAGGGGGATAAGCAGGGTCTCAAATATGCCCCTGAGGCCTCTGCTTGCCGTCCTGATTCTCTGCACTGAGCCTGTGGGGCAGACCCTTGGCTCTGGTCCCTGTGCAGCTCCACTAACATACACAGATCTCACACTTGGGTGGGTGATGGATAAGGTTGGTCCCTGGGGAAATGCTGGAACTTGGATCACTTGGTTTACCCGGTTTTGGATAGTGAACAGAGCCTCCTGTGTGGATGGAAGCCCAAGAAGGTTGGACCAACCTCCTGCCCAACCCTGGGTCCAGGTTGAGGTGGGTTTCATCATTAAATGCTTCCTGCAGATCAGGTCCCAGCTGTCCCCACTCCCAGGAGCAACCTGTTAGGCTGGGTCCTGCCCACTTCTCTCTAGGTCTGTCTGTTCCCTCCTCAGTACCCATCAGCCCTTTGCCCTGGGTTTTGGACTCCTCAGGCCTTACCTGCAGGTCTTGAGCACAACTGGTTCTGTACCTATTCTATCTGCCTTGTTAGATCATGTCCACCCTTCTTGGAACCTGCTCTGTGTGCCTCCCCCAGCACAAGGGTCTTCTGGCTTCTTAAGTAAGTGGACCTTGTAGGTGCACATGGGTTCGATGTGGAGAAAAACCCCTGCCTATGTATTTCAGTAAATTCTCAAGATTGCCCTTGGAATCACCTCCATGCTCCTCACAGACCACCAACATAGCTCCAAGGATCCACTGCTGTCAGGGTTGATTTGTGCACATACATGTGTGTGTGTCACTGCAGATAGGCTGTTCTAGAATCCATATGGGCTGCTGTTCTAGCTACCAGAGGTACCAGCATTTCCCAGCCATTCCACAGCCCCTGCTCACTCATACCCTCCTGGAGGCCTGTGGTCTGCCTGTCTCCATTCCCCTTCTCTTTGCCACCATGCACATGCGGCCTTGTACCTCCTCCCTAACTCAGCACTCAATATGCACTTTCTCAGTGGGGTATCTCTGCTCCCTAGGATCTGATCTTTATTTTCTTGCAGCCCAAGCTGACCTGCCCAAACTCTCATTCTCCCCATAGCTGTGGGAAAGTGTTCCCTCTCTTCAGCTGCTGTAATTGGCCCCACTTCCTCCTACAAGGTGTTCTGAGTCACTCTTTATCTGCCACCAAGGAATAGTCAGTTCACCGGTAGTTAAGGACAAGCCCTGTAGAGACTGAGTTGCTCTGGTGGAAACACTGGGCATGTGGATCTAAATGGCACGTGAGTCCTTCCAGCTCTGCTCCCAGGAGTCCCTCACTGGCATAAGGCCTATCATTAAGGTCGTTTAGGACCACGTCTTCTAAGCAGCACCCACGGAGTGTCATCACTGTGGTACCCTACTTCCGGCCCAGCTCTGACCTCCTACTGTCCTCTTGGTCAGAACCAAGAATTTCCTCCTCTGCTTCAGGAACCCCAAACCAGGTGCCTCAGAGGGTCCTACTCCACCTCCTAATTTTCCACCTTGCTTTGCCTCTAACCCTTTTTCTGGCTCACATGCTCCCCACTCTCCTGCTCTGGTTATCCCTCCGGAATCTCTGAGCTCCTTCCACTGGGCCAGAACCCTCTCTCAGACTGTCAAGCTCTTGAAATCTCACCTCCTCCAAGAAGCCTTTTTTTGATTGATTGGAAGGGACCTAATACTCTTTCTGACTTCAGCCTTTCCAGCCTCTTCCCCTCAGCAACAGTGGCTGCATAACAACTTGGTTAAGGGCTGGGCTCTGGGTCTAAGATGTGTAAGATGGATATGGATGAAATTTTAAAGACAAGCAGACAAGCTAATCAAGGAGATCCAGAAAGAGTAACAACATTGCTATTGTATATAAGCCAGTGGCATTGAGAGCTGAGAGGAAGGGTTATTATGTTTCTGCAGGGGGAGAACAAGGGGAATAAGCCTAGTGAAACCAGAAAGACTTCATGGAGGAGGTGGGCTTCGTAGAAGGGTGATGGCTTTCCCACATTTGCAAGTGTACTCTTCTGGTTAGGTTATGTTTGGGTTCATATTCTAAGATTCATGTATCTTCATTATAATAGTATCTCTATGTTGCTTCTTGTCTGCCCATCTCCCTTATGTTCCTCTGGGGCAGTGCTGGTTGTATCAGACTCCCTTAGATGGGACAGCCCCTGAGGCCAGGCTCCTTGTATGTCTATATCTCTCTGTAGATTACCTAGAACAGTGCCTATTCAGATAACTGGTTATTCCTGAAGGCTCTTTAAAGCAAATACTCTAGGCCCAGACCAAGAACTGGAGCACCTAGACTGAGGTTTTAGCCTGGGTAGGATTTGGCCTTATTGGTGAGTGCATCACCATCAAATTCACCATAGATGCTCCTGTCACTCACCCCACCTGGGCAGGTGGGCCCCATCTTTTAAGAGAACATCTCCAGACAATGCTGCTCACACTTTGCCTCTCTTTGGCTCTTCTTATCTCCCTTCTGAGAAGGGAGGCAGGAGACAGGAGTCCTAGTCTATGACTGCCAGTTGTATGACCTTGGGGAAGTAATTTCAGCTCTCTGGGACTCGGTTTCATCATATTAAAATGCAGGGATTCTATAGATTTGATGCTTATTATAAGATAAGAAAATGAATATTAAAAGAATAAGATAACATTTTAGGAATTGGACTAGAAGAGGATTCCTAAAGCCTCCTTCAACTCCACAGTTCTGATTCTAAACAAAATTTGTCCTGTGAATATGTTTCACTCTCCAGCTCCAGCCCTGTCTGCTTCTCCCTAATCTGTTTCTGTCTGATGGGCTCAGTCTTTGTGTGCACAGCATCCGTGTGAGGCCTGCATTTCTGCAGTTCAGCCCAGGAGATGAAGGGGAGGGGAGCTTAGGATCTCAGCAATGTAAATCTTCCTAGGTCCCTCCAAGCTTTAGAGGGGCCCATGAAAGGTGAGAAGGCAAAGAAGAGGAAGGCAAGATGGCTGAGGCCCAGGATATCCCCAGTAAACATCAAGGCCCCAGAAACCAAGGTCATTGCACCTCCCTGTCTCCAAGGGGCCCCTACAAAGAGGCTAGTGATGACATAGGTTCTTAAAACATCCAGGATGGAGACCCAGCCTGGGCATCTGAATGCGTGGATCTTGCTGCCCCCCCGCCCTGGCACCCCCAACTCCCTTGCCTATTAGTCTCAGCTCCTGAGGTGTGCAGAGGGGGTGGGTATGCACCAGCCCAGCCTTCCCTCCCTCTCCTGAGGACCTTACCCCAGGGGAGAAGTGCGTGACTAAAACAAACGAGGGGAGCAGAACCCCTCTACAGATAACAGTGGAGGGGGGAGAGGGTGAGCAGAGAGAAGAGAGGAATTGACAGAGGAGGTGCTGCTAGCTGTCAAGAGGGAGACCCGAATTCTCATGTCTTTCCCATTTCACAGGCTCTTTGCTAGAAGGACTTAATTAAGGAGCCCAAATATAGTTTCTTTTGAACAGTGAATAGGGTTGGGAGCACAGATGAGGAATGTGATGCTCTGGGGTGGGGAGAGAAGGGACCAGTGCTGAGATGCTGGAGGGCCCAGGGTGAAGGGGATAGAGAGGACAGGGGTGAACTGGTGACTCCTTTTCCCTGCCATAAGCTCTGCTGCTTTCCTTGATGGAAGGGGGGCCATTTCTGCCTCTCCCATCCTCAGTCCTGATCTCCCTTCAACTCCCTGGATCCTGCCTTCACCTCCTTTACTGTCCCCTGAGAACAGCTCTCACTGTCCAGTTCTCCCAGCACTCACCAGAAGCTTTAAGTCTTGGTTCACCTTCTGCCTCCACCAAGCCCCCTTTTTGCCTCCTCCCTTTCGTCCCCAACTCCTTCTCCTCCCAGACCCTGCTGGCGCCCAGCATAGCACTACAGATGTAGGAGCAGATCAAGAAGGGCGGGGGTGGTAGCTGTTGCTTTTCTGGGATATTCTTAGCCTGTCTGGGGGCTGGAGCTGGAATCAGCGTTTCCATCTCAACCAGGCAGGTGGCTGCCAGAAACTGCCACTGTGACTGGGTCTTCATCTAGTTCCATATCCCTTACCCTGTCCCTTCCTCCTCTGTCTTGATTTCATCTATGAACACAGACCCTCTGAGAGTCCAGCCTTCCCACCCTTGTGCCCTGGGTGGAAGGTTTCCTCTGCCTATCAGGCGTAGCCCCAGGAAGGTGTGCAAACCTCACTGGAGGCTCTGGGGAGAAAGAAGAGCCTTGGAGAACTCTAGCTCAGATGCTCCCTAGAGCTGCACACAGCCCTCTTCTCTCTGCCCCAAGGCCCTCTTCTTTCATCTGCTCCCAACAACCCCTGCATGAGACTCAGTCCCCAGACTCTAGCCACCACCATGAAGGCCTTTCTTATCTTGATTTATAGGAGTCACTCAGGGGCCCTAGAGTTTCAGAAGCTGCCTCCTGAGAGCAGCTGAACCCTGGGGTCCAGGCCTCCTTTGGGC